AAGGTGTAGAACGCAAGGCGACGGGTAGGTGTCGCAACCGTGCCGTCCTAGCAAAGGATTGGAAACACTCGCCTTTTCGTGCAAACGTTGCATCGCCAGCGACGGTCCTTAGAACTACTTATGTATGCCTTTATTAGTAAAAAGGCACACACAGACTATTGACGTGTTGTTATAGTGCCTCATATATGCGCAATAATTGCTTTTTAATTGACAATCGCACAATTATGAACGCTGAAGCTTGAGCAATATTGGTGGGAGCTGGGGATGGGGTCGGCGGTTTGTGTGAAGTCTCGGTGCCGTTTAGACTTTAAAGTATCGTTAAGGGTGGACAAACAGACAAGTGGACAGACAGACAAAAATTTTTCCTTCGAAGGTTCACAAAAAAAGACTATCGTCTTTAAAAAAAAGAAAAACAAAAAAAGTAATCAGATAACCACCGCACATCACACGCGGAGTACAATGGGCTGGCGTGCTCTGCTATCATGACACAACGTTACGCCTCTGGCGCGGCGGGGCTCTTCACGTAATTCGAATTACGTGAAGGTGAGCTCGCGCGTGACGGAGCACAGGGGCAAAACCCTTCAGGCACACTCTATCGGTGCGTTAGTTGCGCCTTCTCCGGCACCGCGGTCTGGAAATTTGACCTAGGCTCTGATTGATTGATTCATTTTATTTTGTGGGGTTTAACGTCCCAAAACCACCATATAATTATGAAAGACGCCGTAGTGGAGGGCTCCAGAAATTTTGACCACCTGGGGTTCTTTAACGTGCACCCAAATCTGAGCACACGGGCTTCGACATTTCCGCCTCCATCGGAAATGCAGCCGCAGCAGCCGGGATTTGAACCCGCGACCTGCGGGTCAGCAGCCGAGTACCTTAGCCACTAGACCACCGCGGCGGGGCGACGTAGGATCTCTGAAACCACGCGTGATATTTTCAATTTTATGAGTGCACACTACTTTGTCGCTCATTTGCAAGCGGGAGTGAGCAATGTCACGGGTGATCTACGGTAACAGCGAATGATCCCACTTCCGCCCACTCATCATTCACTCGGATCCGTGGAGATGCCGTGATTTTTTTTTAACTGAGCCAAGCATACGAGCTCGATGGATCAATTCACTTGAAATGAGTAGCTGCGCGCATATCGTGGATTTACCCGGCACGCCGAGTACACCGGAGTGTAAAGGATATCTGCTGGTCCGGCGAGATCTACGTCAACGGTAGAGTACGCAGAGACGTGTTTCATTGCGCGCTACGGTGGGATGATGTGCTCATCATATGTTGCTGACGTAGGCGTGACACACATACGTATTATTTATTACAGTGCATTATATATATACGGATAGTCAGCAGTTCGAAGTTCAACTCACGTGGCCCTGTCACAGTGGGATACTAATTGACTGTTGCGCGCAATTACTCGGTTTTTATTGCGGCCGCAATCAAACCAATCACTTTAGTGTGGATCACTCTAGGGGAGCAGGCAGTCGTGGGCTGACATCGTCTCATATTGCTTAGCATAACGCAGGCGTAACCATATCAAGGTGGCGGGAAAGGAACGTGCACGCTCTGAGAAAGGATCTAGTAAAATGAGCGCCTTTTTATCTCACAACAATGATCATCATCAGGCTTCTTCGCGCTTCCGGTCTTGAAATCTCGGTGCTGACCTCTTTCCTATCAAGAATGCTGTCACGCTGATTATGCGAATGTCCTGACTTAAAAGTACCGGGCGCGCGGTGATAATGCAAGGAAAAGAACGCACGAAAAAACGCTGTTTTTACTCGGTCATTTCCTAGTGTGGGGCTCAGCATGAGCGACGCGAGGAGAAGAAAAACTCCCAAGCATTTCCCCGAAGGTGAACATGGTTAAGTGCGAATACACGGGGTGATGCTATGAGGGGTATTTATTAATTCGCACTATTATATTTATTAATCACACTATGGTGCCTTTATGGTGTAATGGTTCCTGGGAATCGCAATTTGATCACACGGGGGAGTTTCCGTTAACTCACTGGCGAATGCCAACGGATTTTAACTTTACTCCCCCTCACGACCCGCTCTCGACGGGAGACTGAGAGAGAAGGCGGGCGCGCGAGAGAGAGGGGTGCGCGCGCAGCTGCAGCGAGCGAGGAGAGCGGAGGAGCGAGCGAAGGGGGAGGGGGTACAAAGCGCGTTACTGACGCCGATATCAGCGTCGCGTCCGTGCCTTATTCGGTAGAGCGTCGCGCTGCGGCCCGCCAAGTCCTCTTTCTTTTAAAGATAGAGAGAAGACTGCGGACGCCGCCGACGGCGGTGGATGGTTTGGGGTCGCTTGTAAAGTGTATTCACACTTAAAAATAAAAAAAAACAGCGGGGGGGGGGGGCAAATATGCTGCCATCGTATACTCGCATCTTATGACGTCATACACGTAAAACGAATGCATAGTATATAGCCATGTGCAGGAAGGGGGTGCAAAAATGAAGTGTGGGTGAGGAAGTCAAAAGGGAGGCGTGTATGGTGTTAGGCAGGCAGAATTATGTATAGCATAGCTGTGTATAGCAGTGGTCGGTTTTTTGACCATTTGTCCCCAAAACAGTACGTCTATAGCTTTTAGAAATCTTGATCTTTTTTCTGTTTTTTTTTACAAGTTTCCTGTTATTTTGAATTGATTTTTACACCATTTGTCAAGAAAACAGTTAGCCTATATCCTTCAGAAGTCTTGATTGTAGTTTTCTCAAGTTTTCTGTCATCTTGATCAATAGATTTTTTCAACCAGTTCTTGTCAAAGTGGTCAGAAATCTTGATTTTTAAATGTAAATTCCTTGAATATGATAGCCCATTAAACCTTTTTTGTGAAAATTTCATGTACATTTGTGAAGTGACCTGTGTACACAAGTCTAGACATGGAAACCAAGCATAGGCGTAGACTATGGCTAGGGCCCCCTCCAGATATCTCTATGGAGGGGCAGAGCCATATTTAGCACCAGTTCGGAATATTTTTTAAGTGCTTGGTCTTCAGTTCTTGTCCATTGACAACAGACTATTTGTCGTCCTGTCTCGCAAATATTTCACAAGGGGCTATTTACACCGGCTTCTTCTGCCTTTCAGACTTTTAACATTTGAATCATGGGTTAGTGACAAGTCAAACTTTCAGAAAAAAGTGGCTCTCAAACGTATTTGAGCATGTGTGATATGCTGTGTTGATAAACAACTGAAGCGACTGCTTAAGTTACGGCAAGTTAAAAAATGTCTTGAAATACGTAGCAACTAGTTTCTCGCAAAACAAAAATGCTCCCGGAGTACAAAGCATCTCTGTTACAGTCAGTGAGTGAATGCTTTCATAAAATTTGCTTTTGTTGTCCACCAATGTAAACGTTTTGATGTGCTTGCCTATGAAAGTGCTCACAAAAGATGGTGTGTATTTTTCATTTATAAGCAAAGGGTCTACTAGCAGTTCTCTAACCAACGAGCAACTCGAATACTAATTCATAGCCTTTGGCAGAAAAATTCCTAAGTCCAGCTCCACACAAGGTGTAGTGGCAGTAAATGGCATTTCCTAAGATCTGAAGATTAATTTTGGTGATCTTGAAATCACTAGCATATCTGAAGCTACCCATGCTAGCATTAGCCTACTCTGTCCTGTCTGGCTTATGCAACAATGTAAAGCATGACAATAAAAAACTTAGATCGCATAAAATTTTATGCAAAGCTTATGTGAGTTGCAGTCTATGCAACATTTTTCAATGTGAGCCAAGCATTATGAGCTCGCGTCTCTCATAATCATATAGTGGTTTTGGGACGTTAAACCCGACAAATCAATCAAGCATTATGAGCTAGATCGACATCTTTGTGCAGAATAAGAAGTAAATCTGGACACTCTGTTTTCTACACACATGCATGCACACACACACAGAGGGACAAATGTGATGTGGAAGAACAACTTGGGTCCCCGCCCCCTCTGGGAAAAAAAAAAAACCTCTCTGCCTGAGAAACCAAGCATTTTTCCATTGTGGAGTCAAAGAATGCCACCCTGCTTGAAAGCACCACCTGGCGGGAGCTACGGGGCACAGGACCCCCAAGCCTCACGGTCCCAAGCCGCTGGTGCCTGCTCTTCTAATTTTTTATTGTTAAAAAAAGCTACATTTTTTAATTAAAAAGAGGCCCACAATACTTCTAGGCCTATCGTCCCCCCCCCACCAAATGTTGTTAATAACCGTCCTCCGCATTGCTTCAATCCACACTCACGAATTTTGCATTGGAAGGTACACGAGGAGATTGGTAGCATAGTATAACTTTCTGTGTCTGGGCAATGCCAGCTCTGTCATTCGAACCATCAACCTGAGTTGTTGAGTGGTTATGAACTGAACACCATACCCACTCAGCTACAGGCACGACACAAACTGTGATGATTAGAAGTTGATCTGTGCATTACCACAGCTCAGGGTTAAAAATAAAGATTGCAGTTGTGCGCTGGAGCCTCTACACATAAACCACTGTATGGCTTAGTTTTCCTTCATTTTCTTTAGGGTGGGGTGGGGGAGAATACCAGCCTAGCGATTCAAACAACCACCCTATCATTTACGAGCTGGACACCGCACTGTTCAAGCCACTGCAACGATGCCAAAAATGGAGTTCAAAAGTTGCTCTGCACAATATAGAATCCATCCATGTTCAATTTGAACCTTGGTGCACACATCCCTTCTAGGGTTGCCACCTTTCCTAGAAAGAAAAAAAAAACCACCTAGGAAGGACGGCCTATCAACGAATTGAATAGAATGCTATTCAATTCACTATTCTAAACTTTAGAATATTTGCATGCCCCTAGAATACACTATTGCAGTACAGTAAAGAGCAGATGCTGTCCTCACTGCATCTTATGCAGTCAGCACAGTGTCAATGAAACAAATATTTTAACATGACAGCAAGAAAATTAATGTTCACCACATACCTTTGTGCTGAATCCATACACTTGGATATCAGCGATGAGTGTTCACAGGTAGAAAAAAAAGCTATGCATGCCAAAAGAATGTGTGAGTAAAGAAATTTTATGACACAGTTGTTGCAGTCTATTTGTTTCATAGCTTTATCATATATACATATACATTAGAATTTATTACAATTGAAATGTACCAAATACAAATGGCTGAAGTGCTGAAAGAAACATTGCTCCAGTTTTTGTGTTGTCACCCAGACAGCACTTGCAAGAAAAATATCTCAACAGAGCATTTTATCACGTGGAACAAGAGACCCTTCTTACGCTTCTGGAAAGAAAAGGAAGAAAAACAAAAACTCCTGGATCACATCAATCAGCTGCAAGTAAAATTAAACCAGAAAAACCTATGCAGTGCTTTAAATACCAATTATTTAAATATAAAATTATATAGCACATGAAACGGGTCTCTAGAGCTCCTTAGGTGAACCATGGCAGAACTCAATTGCTAAAAAGAAAGTGTACACAAAAAAATAAGGGTCATTTTCACTCAGCATTTGGGAAATTCTGCATTGAAAAAGATGACGCATGGAAATAAACAAATAAGCTAGAGCCTAAAAGATTAAACTTCTAAAATTTAGCATGTACAGAAGAGAGAAATGGGGAGCAGTTTACAGGCATCAATCTCTTTACGTAAAAATTGGCTAATGAAGAGTGGAGCACATACTCCTGATTGCCGACGAAACATGGGAAATGACATTCATACAGTAACAGCTGCGCTATGACAAACATACTCCATGGCATGAGAACTTTTCCAACAGTAGTGACACTTCTAGTCACAGACCATATTCGCAGATGACCAACTTTTTCACAAGGCTGAAGAGGGAAACATTTGTAAACCTATCTACGCGTAAAACATAAACGTGTCCTCACTGGAATCCAGTACTTCATGGGAGAAACATTGTTTGGCAGACAGTGGCATTTGCTTCTCTGAAACAAAGTCCTTGGCCCACTGTATGATTGCTCTGCTATGTATATATTTATATATATATATATATTTATATATCAATGTGTGTACAAACAAGACCCATTCGAGCTTTCGAAACAATGTTAACCACTATGTGTCAGCAAACAGCTGCTGGGTCATTTGTAATAACACACTTTCATCCTTATGCTGAGCCGGGCATAAAAGCTGTCTCAAAGTGTACTTTAATACCTAAAATGGAAGAAAAATAAATTACAGTATTTGCAAGGTCATTGAAATGAAAGAGCCTGCCACTTGGCAAGGTCATGGCAATGCACTTTGTAAAGCCAACCTTTCATCTGTCAGCAGTGTATTCCACACATAGAAGATTCCCAAATGTTGCCCTTTGACCATCAGGCATAAGGAACCACTTGTTCTGACATGCACTAATCTGGCAAAGAATGAACAAACAAAGTGAGATATGTAGAGTGTGCCCTGACCAGCAGATGGCAGCCAAGAACACACCTGTGATGCACATACCCACCACTGATGGGCTTGCTCGGTTGAAATGGCACATCAATTCCACATTGACATCACCTCAGTGAGGCCCTTGTACAGTGAAGGGCACGGAAGCATTAAGTACACACCAGCATTTTCATGGTCAGAAACTGCGAGTCGAACAATGACAATTACCACTTAAAATAATATAAATATACACTCAGCAGTGGCTAGCAGAGTATAGGTGAACATAACAAGCAAGACCACGGGGAGAAAAATGATTAAATTACGAGAAATAAATAATGTCTAATACACATAACAAAGGCCAAAATATTATGGGCCGATGTTTTCTAGTAGTATTTGTTATGGCACATTCCATTCCACCAAGGTAAGAAATTAATTTGTGACACACTTCACTATAATCCCTGTAGTCTGTTGCAGCTTCTAGTAAAACAGATGCGAAGATACCTTGAGTGCCTATCTCTGCTTGTGCTGTAACAGGAGAAGATTTACACCAGCACATAATAAATTAAGTCTAGATAATTGTGTACGTAATTGTCTGACTGAAATAAAAAGCTTAGCTTTACTTGTCCCACGATAAGAAAGAAGAGTACAAAAATGATGCAAGAGTGCATGCCCTACAAGAAAAGAATGAATAAATAAATACTGCTGGCATTATATTAAATGCGAAATTTGAATTTATTAAACTTAGGTAGAGAGAATGCAATTCCAATATTTAATATGTATGGAATGTATCTGAACAAAATAAAATTGTTACATAAGTATGAATTTAAGTTATAATTCAAAGCACCCCTCTAACCCACACCTTTTTTTCAATAAAATTATATGAGAAGAAAGGTAGACTGTTGAACATGAGTATCTATGCTTCTGTTCTTGGCATCCTGCTCTAGTTTGAGGCTTTATTGCATGGAAAGGAGGGGTGCTTAAGCCTGTGTTATAGTAAAGTTAGTCTGGCTACTATATTTTAAAATGAGAAGCCAGTCATAGTTATTTTTGAATAAGCGTGAAGAAATAGTAACCACTATAAATAGTTCCCCTACAGATTTAAGGCTCAGCTGCACCTGAAGCTTATCATAACCAAAAGAAATCTTTTCCTGTAACCTGATATCTATTTGCCAGCCCAGAAAAAAAAAAGTATAGAAGCACAAGCAGCACGTGATCATAGAATGTGCAATGAATCAGGTACAAGAACTTGCTACCTTCTTTACCCAGGGGTGGATCCTTCCTTCCTACATAATTTCATAGATCAAAAGATGTTATCTCTGCTGTAAAGTACAAGAAATATATCAGCCACCAGCATTCATTACATGATTTCTGTGAGCAGTGTGGCCTGGTACCAAAAAATAAAACATCATTTGCATGAAAATTTCTAACCAAGCCAAGACAAAGCAGAGAGCTATGCGCAACTCGGGAGACATTTGAAAGATACAATCAATGATATGATAGAAAAAAAAGCAATAATATAACGGCAAAGAGCAACAGTTCACCAATTACTTTCGCTGTAAAGGAATTTTGCCCCACCAAGCAAGGCTGGTTAGGGACCTGCCTGTTTGGCATGTTCATTCAAAGTTCCAAAATTTGACTGCCAATACCCTGGCAACAATAAAACCAAAAAACGGCACACCCTGTTCCACACGCTTCGGGTGTTCGGCAGCAAGTACCAGCCAACCTCAGCTTGTCCCCATGCACACAGCAACCTGCTGCAAATACCCACAATGGTAACTTGGCACTTGAGGAGGTACGAGTTATGGGTCACTCGCGCTGTTGCTGTCTTGACAGAGCACTGGCTTGAGACTGGTCACCGATGAGCAGGGCCACTGCACTTTCGGACTGCCTACAGCATCCGCTCTCGTGTGCACTCGCCGTTGAACAAATAAGTCAGCTGCTAATTTTTTTTTTACACATTTGCAGCATCACAGAATAGTGTCCAATACGGACATGGACTTTGAAATGTTCTCATCCTGTAAAGAAAATTACAAAAACCATTTTAAGTATTATGCAGTGAAAATGTTATTATTTTTTGTCCTTGTACAAGTGTATAAAGCAGGTATAATGAGCATTGGCAACATACAGCTGTTTATTTTTTTTTCATTACGAGAGTCAAATGCTGGCCATCAACTAAAACCAGTGATGCGGCAGCAAGTGAATGCTGGCTTCTGTGCAATGAGTGAAAGATGAGTGCTTTATAGAGTGAACTGCTCACCCAGTTGGTTGATACCCTTATGGTTAACGAGTTCCAACATTGGACCGGACAAAAAAAGTAAACACAGGAAAAGCACATGCACAAACAGGCCTTAAGCAAAGGACATGAATTGAGGACAATGTTCTTGGCTTCCATATCTTCAATTGAACTAATAAAGCAATGCAATATAGATAAAATCACACATGCTCTTGAAGTTTTGTCAGCATTTCTGCTGTTGGCCAATTCCATAAAGGAAAAGGTCATTCTGGCAGTAGCAGGCAAAACATAAGCAATTAGAGGTGTGGCCACTGTCCTAAATTTTTATAATAGTGGTACGTACATAAAAACCATTCATACATTTAGTCAGCAAGCAGCATCAATTTGCTTGTGGTATATTTGAAAGGTGCAATGTTGCTGTGCAAAAGTGCCCCATAACAAAGTATTCTTTAGAATCTTGTAAACATTCTTTGCAGCCCAGGAAAATAAAAATCAGAGTTTCCAACAATGGCAACAAAATACTACAGGGTTATTTAGGGTTGAATGCACTCTGCTCATGTTCAGTTTCAGTTTGCAGAAACAGATATCTATAACGGTTCATGAACTGCAATAGATGTATACACACATATATATACGGAAGCCCCAGCTATCTTTACCCAGATGCCGATACACGTAATTACGACGCGACCAAATGCATGTTGCTGATTGTTACCCGTAGTTATTCAGACTATTTTTTCGTACTCTAAAATATTGTTTAATATACCTGTTTAATTAACTAACTTTTGCCCCGCTGCGGTGGTCTAGTGCCTAAAATACTTGGCTTCTGACCCACATGTCGCGGTATCGAACCCGAGCTGCGACTGTTGCATTGTTGATGGAGGCGGCATTGCTGTAGGTCCGTGTGCTCAGATTTGGGTGCACGTTAAATAACCCCAGGTGGTCGAAATTTCTGGAGCCCTCCACTACAGCGTCTCTCATAATCATATGATGGTTTTGGGACGTTATACTTCACATATCAATCAATCAATCAATTAACTAACTTTTTAAGGAACGAAGATGGATAAAAAATTTCAATGAAAAAGTTGTAAATCGGTTTGCGAAATGTCCGACTAGGCAGTTTCGAGCTTAATATCTGTTAATTATTATTGCTTTTCTGCTAACTACAAATGTCCACGAAATAAGAAAAAATACCATGTGACAAACTCGTTCGCACGCCAGTGCGCATGATGATTCTAGTGCTCCCTAACGTTCTAAGTACAACGACCAGAGCATTTGTCCGAATGTGCTGTCTCCACAGGGCCGCAACAATGGTGGTGGCTTTGCGATGAACATGTTTTGCTATCGGCCACTAAAGCGATAACCACTTTTGTAACTCCGCCAGAATCGCGCCGTGATTCTGGTGGGGGATCTTCTCAATGTGGGGGAGTAGTGGGGGAGCTTCTCAATGGTTATGAAGGCCATTGAGAAGAAACAGGTGAAGATAAAAGATGAAGAGCTGACCCATTAAAAGGAAACTCTTCTCTCACGCGTGGCGGTGCGGGCTCCTTTCGCCTACCGACGCGACAATTTCGGGTGGCCCGACACGCAACAAGAAGTGGCCAGCACAGAATCACAGCCAGTTGTGGACTTACAATGACTTTTGGCTGTGTACAGTTTGGTTTTGTTGTTTGTGTTTTTTCCTCGTTATTTCAAAATTTTTTGTAATATCAATTTTTTCGTTTTTTTAGGCTTTCCTAGTTCTCTCTCACTTCTCATCTTTCAAGGTGCAAGGAACATGGCAGCAAGCAAGTTTGAACGTCTACGTTAGTTTAACTCATCCCCTAACGAAGGGAGGACTCCTCCCGAAACTTTTGGGAAATAAATATATTTATCCTTGTTGACAACGCTTTCGTTGTGTTATATCCCATATCTTCACGAAGACAAACTGGCCCTTTGAAATATTACTCTCAGTTTATATATTCACACACACGCACACACACACACACACACACACACACACACACACACACACACACACACACACACACACACACACACACACACACACACACATACATATATAAGGAAAAGAAGTGAATACTTAAGGGCTCATTTTCCCGTGTTTTGACACAATATTAATGAAATCTAACAGACAATAATGCCAAGGAAAGTATAAGAGAGGTTATTAGACCAAATTGTAAGGTAAATGTGAAGAAAAAAAAGTAGGTGAAAAGATAACTTGCCAATCTATATATATATATATATATATATATGTATAAGGGAAAGAAGTGTATACCTAAGGGCTCGTTTTTCCGTGTTTTAACACAATATTAATGAGATCTAACAGACAGTAATGCCAAGGAATGTACAGGGGAAGTTATCAGAACCAATGAAATGTAAATAAGAAGAAAGAAAAGTGGATGAAAAAATAACCAGCCGTGAGCAGGAATCGAACCTACGACCTTCGAGAGCATCGAAAACGTTATTCGAAGGTCGTAGGTTCGATTCCTGCTCACGGCTGGTTATTTTTTCATCCACTTTTCTTTCTTCTTATTTACATTCCATTGGTTCTGATAACTTCCCTTGTACATTCCTTGGCATTACTGTCTGTTAGATCTCATTATATATATATATATATATATAGATATATATATATATATATATATATATATGTGAGGAATTATTGGTCAGCTGCCAGCTCGTAATAAGTTCCCGTGCTACGTGACGCCAGACAGGCTCATAAAGAGTGTGCCACACTCGCCGCCATGGCTACTGATGGCGCTGACTGACATTCCCGCTTTTAAATTCACATATATACCCAATAAAGTGGTTGGGGGGATAGTCCCTGTGGTAGCTCAGTGGTAGAGCATCGAACGCATTATTCGGAAGGTCGCATGTTGGTTCCTGCCCATGGCAAGTAATCTTTTCACCCACTTTTCTTTCTTTATTTTTCATAAGGTGAATAATAGCTTCAACAAAACTGCCACTGATGAGAGCATATAATACCACAGATGATTCAAGCATCCTCTGTAATGGGTGAACACATCTACTAGAGCAACAAGTGAATTGGAAATAAAGCATGCTTACCTTTGTACAAGAATCCATAAATTCATCAATTGTGACAACGCCATCCTTATTGAGGTCGAGCTTCTGCAAAATAAATTCATAACACGAAAGGTGAGGTGTTATGATATGTTCTAGAAGAGAGCAGAATAATGTAATACTGTAATTTTACACTGCCTGAAGAATATGACACCAATCAATTGTATACTTCTCTTTCTTTAGTTTTATATGGCAACATACAAGTCATAAAAAGGGAGAACATCTTGTGCATTTGCTAGTTTTGATCTGCAAGCTCACAGTACGAGATCGATTTCGAATTGCTAGGAGTCAACAAACCTCTAGGGAACCTCTGCATGCAGTGGCATGATTTCGAAGCCATCTAAGCTTAGACAAAATTTTAATTATGGAAGGCTTCAAGAGGTATGAGATTTCATTGGAAAGAGGTTGACCGATAAACTCTCATAGCTTTTTGTCCCTATTTATGCAATAAATCAATAAGTCTGCAAAAATTTAAATACTGCTTTAAGGAAAACCATCAACCTTGTACAACATTTTCATTTGGTGATTCTTTTGTTGTCCTACGAGATCTTAATTGGTTGTGCTGTACGTGCCATGCATGGTAATTCAGTCAGTGAAGTCTAACACTATTCTCCCAAGCAAAGTTTTTGTTTGTGGCTAAATGGAAAATATACACATGTTTACAGATGAAAATGGGGTTGCACTGATTACCACATTCAGTGGCCGTAATTCTGGGCTTACTGAAGATACGTTAAAGTACAGCAATGGCTGTAGTAAATAAACTATGGTACATTAAAAATAAAAATAAACCAACAAAAGTTGGACCTCAACATATTAGATATAATAAAACAAAAGAAAATTGTGTGATATTTTTTTCAGCAACAGTGCATGTGTTAAGAGGTGCAAAAGTGACTACAATTATGCTGTAGCAGCAACAAGGTGATAAAATATGACTTGTAAATACGGCACAGATTGTAGCATTTAACCCTTTGAGGGTCAATGATGTAAATATACCGCAGTGCAAGCAAGTCCCAAATGGAAGATGTTGTACATTTACGGCACAGTCTATATGTTTAAAAAATGTGCCAATTTTTCAATTCTGTTTGTCTGAGTGAGTGGTGTTACCCAGCAGGCATGCAGGGATTTTTTTCGTAGCATCATTGACGTTTTCTGTTCCAAAGTTTGTTTAGGCATGGTCTTGAGCCTTGTGCTGAGCATGACTTGTATGCACAGCATGCAGCGGGAAGTTTAGTTTCGTCTTGTGGGCAGTTTAAGTTTTTGTGCCCACAAAAATTATGTATTCAAATTCGAATTTTTTTATTTTCTGCCTTGTAAAAGTACAGACAGTGGAGGTGCATAAAAAGCTGTCAGAAACAGCTTGACAAAATCACGGCACCCTTTTTTCTGGCAGCAGCTTCCCAGCAAGGCTCATGAAACAACAGTATATATTAGAAAAAAGCAGTGACAAATATACAATAATAGACAAATACAAAGACGAAACAAAAAAAAGATTATATACAACATAATATAGATAACATTCACATTGAATACACAAAGGAATGGCTGCAAAAAAAAAAAACACACACACAAAATCTAAATGTTAACGTACAATGGTTGACAAACCAAAGATATCAAAATTACTATGAACATATGAATTTAAAAGGAAAGGAAGGGTGGATTGCAGACGTTCTCTACCTGAATATCTGGGTATAGGCACAACCCAAGTCACTCCATACCTTGTCATAAATTCTGCTACTCGGGTGTGCAAATCAGGAAGGTATTGTATGTAAGTGGTTGTAAGTTTCGAGTTTAAACCTGACACTCAAGCGGGATTTTCACAAGTTCTGGGTCTTTATTATGCTGCTTTGCAAAAAGAGATCTGCACTCGGTGAGTGCCATGGCACATTGTGAACATTATGTAGGAATCTCTTATGTAAAATGTAGATACGCTGAAGACAGCCACGTGTAGCCGTTCCCCCGACTAAGTGGCGATAGTTTAAATAGGAGTAAAAGGGCATTGTACGGTAGTAATTTTACATGTATTGGTTTTGGATGAACGTATTTGAGCCTGCTTTTGACCCCGGTTATTTGAGCCAGTTTCATTGAAATGTGGTCCACATGCTGCTCCTAAGACATAGAGGAGAAAAAACTACTCCGAGGCACTTAAATTGTTCAAACACATCTACACATTTCGAGTTCAACTTAACGTCGAAGGAAAAAAGAATTGGTTTATTTTGGAGGCAGAATATGACAGCTTGTGATTTCTTCTGATTAATATGCATGCACTTAGATTCTGACCTTTTTTGTAGCTCACTCGTGGTATCATTGCAATCTTGAAGATCAAGAAAGATTACTTTCAGTAAAAAAAAAAGTAGTTTCAATAGTATAGATGATAAATGTAGCAGTAGTTTTAATACTGCAAATGAACATATAAAAAGGAATGGTCCTAATATAGTGTCTTGTGGAAGGCCAAAAGCAACAGATTTTAGTTTAGACTGTGTTATCTATGCAAACAGCTAGTTTTCTGAGAAGGTATCTCGATAGATATGATTTCGGGAGCATTTGAGCCCCCCTTGTCTACAAATACCATAGTATTCCAAGTTATTGAGCAGTATAATGCAGTTCACAAGATTGAATGCCTTCTAAAATCCCACAAATATAACAATAAGAAAAGCTTTCTTTTCAAACGGAGTTAATATATATCCCTTTTGTTTGAGTAGTGCTAGTTCAGCAGATTTATTTTTACAAAACCCAAATTGATTTGGTGATAGCCGGCCATGCCTGAATAATAAAATCAGATGTCACAGTATACAGCACTTTCTCAAAAGCTTTCGAGAACATTGGAAGTATGGATACTCGTTCATAATTTTCTAAATCATTGTGATCGCCTTTCTTATACAGAACCATTACTTTGGCAAATTTCATTTTTGTAGAAGATGTACCGGTATCTAAACATAGGTTAAATATGCTTGCAAAAACAGGTGCAACGATGGCAGTAACATGCTTCACAGGCCTTACTTGAATACCATCTATGTCATAGCTATGACTGTTTTTAAATATTTGTATTATTGCTATAACTTCTGTCGTAACAGGGCTCAGAAATATCTAGCCATTAATACAAGAATTATTGTATTTATTGAAATCAACCAATGGGTTATGAGCGAGAGTTGTGAAAAAGTTGTTAAAAGCTTCTGCCAGCTCTACACCAGATATGATTTAACTTTAACATACATGGGGAATCATCCAGTGGTTGCTCGCACCTAAGTAAGAGATTTAACCTTCACTCTAACAAATCAGGGCTACCATTTTTCACTTTAAGCGATGTAGAGTAGTATTCCGCATGTGCCTGTTGAAATTCTTTTGTTAGCGCATTCGTGTATTTCTTAGGTACCCGGAAGTCATCTGCTGAATGCTTATTTGAAAATATATTTAACAGCTTGTCTTCTGTTTTAATTTCATGACGTAATTTGATAGTTACACAGGCTTGTGTCTTTTGCGTTTTGATCCGTACACATTTAATGAAAATCAGGAATGGCACAGCTGTTTGACTACATAGAGAAACTTATCAAAGGCCCCATTTACATCATTTGCAATGCCGATATTATACCACTGAACTGGTGTTATTGAATTCTGAAATAAACTCCCGGTTTGGTTGTTTATATGTCGATATGTAGCTTTTCCTTGCCGGCACTTTACTGCTCGATTCTCATTGCTCGATTCTCATTCTCGATCCTCACACTGAAAGATGATCACTGATTGCACATGATATTACACCTGTTTCAGCTATTGGTTGGGATGAATTCGTAATGAGATCGTGAAGAGATGCACTTTCTTGTGTAGCCCTTGTTAGCATTTTAACAAGGCTAACAAATCTGCTTGAAGTGAGAGTTGTGTTAAATTTTATAGCAAAAAAGAATCCTTGAATGAATTAATATTAAAATCTCCTCCAGCTATTATAGTGATTTACTGTTAGTTAAAAACAAAAGAAAGTTACAGCAAAACTCAAAAAACTTGACCACATTTGGTCACTGCTTGGTAACTGCTTCGCCTGCGACTGTTTAAACACAAGGACTCAATGAGCCTCAGAAACCTACAGACCTTCTCAGATAATAGTGGGAATTAATATTTCGTTTTTGGTTTCTTTCCAAACCGTGTTGCGTGTGGATAAAGCTGTAGATGTATTTTCTGTACATGATGGTAATATGCTCGTCTCGCATGTCATCATCACGTACCGTCTCCTCCATCTTCCCAGTGTCGCACACCTTGCAAGTGATGATCTTAACTCTCAATATTTGCATGTGTGGTCCTATACATGTGTCTTTCTGAACTGTACAGTGATACCTCATTAATTCGAAGTCGCTGGAACTGTGAGAAATCTTCTAAGTAAGCAGGTTTTCGAATTAACAAGGTACAATAACAAGGGTCTTGAAATTATTCAAAGTATAATCAGGGCTCGTCATTCACTGTGCTGGCAAGTTTGCGGCTCCGAGGGTTAAGTTTTACAAAAATACAAGGTCACAGTTTTGCCGCAAACAAGGGGGAACGCGGGACCTCGCTGCTGCAATCGCAAAAAAAGAAAAGAAAAACAAGACATCTTGACTGCAACACAGTAGTGACACGCCGGCAGCGTGTCACCTGCTTTTTGCTGCACCAGCACATCATGATGCGACCATTCGCCCATTCTTTCTAGTAAAATAAAAAAAATTCAATAGCGACAGTGTGACGAAATCACGATGTTTTGGCTGGGAACCATTATTATTGAAGCTTTCGAACCGAATTTCGGAAGTAGGAGTAGTAGGCAAGATCTCCACCGGCGCTGCAAGTACGCAAATTGCTGGAGCAACCGGCACTCGGAGGTTCACATACATAGCGAATTCCGCCAGACTGTTCTTTATTATTTTCTTTATATTCTCAGAAAGAATGGGTAAATCATGACGCGCCAACGCTGCGAGATGCATGCGACACGCTGCCCGCGTATCACCTATGTGGTGCAGTGAAGCACGTCTTGTTTTCCGCAGGCGCACAATTTAGTTGATCACGAGACCCGTTTTTTTTACAATTTTATTTTT